ATCATTGCATTTTGTTTTTATTTACATTTTGCACAGTGTCCCAACTGTTGTACAAAAAACAGTCAATTTTCAACCTCACTTTATCTCTTATAATTAAACAGGCTGTTTGTGTTACCTTTAAGAGTTCTGATTGGCCACCATGCATGCTTTATTCAAAGAAGTTCCAGCTGAAACATTCCTAATAATGGGCGGGGCTACACTGTTCTAAGCTGCAGAGACAGATGTATGTAAATGTGTTGGTTTTTGTGACATCACAAAAGCAATTCATTCAAATGTGCTGCTTAGGTTTCATAGACTGAATGTACTAAAGAGCAAACAATATGTTGAAATTTTGCTTTGAAGCGATGTTTACATACTACTCTTTTACTTTAAAAAGTGAGCAATTTAGTTTTTCCATATTAGAGGTCCTTTAACTGAAGTAACCATGCTTTTCTTTAACTGTGGTTTTAGGCTGGACTGCTCTACTCACAAACACAGGCTGAGCCTTATTCACTATCAAACTTCATTTCAAAGAGTGTAGCAATTCTGAAACTGAGACCAAAACTGTGATACACACATGCACAGTCTTGTGTCGCAGTTTCGGAAGACAGATACAACCCCCCACCCCCCCAAACCTCAACCTGCCGCCAAACTCTGCTGGTGCAGCCTGTTGTGCTCTCACTTCATTACTAATGTAGCAAAACTCATTTTTCATTTCACAATTAATACTATAACATGTATAATATGTAAATCGTGAAATTATTATTCTGTTTAAAGTCAGGGAAAGCTGTATTTCATGTTCTGTATTGTTCTCTTTAGTGTTCCATATTGTTGGTGACTTAATAAAACTCTGAAAAGTTTCCCTGTTTTCTCACCACCCCCCCACCAAAAAAGAACAAACAAAATATATATATATATATATATATATATATATATATATATGTATATATATCGTCTCTGTCCAAAGAAAAGTCAAAGTAAAGAGATTTTATTCCAAGTGATTTTAGAGCATTTCTATTGGTCAAATCATCATGAATCCGTAAAGGACAGCTGGTGTGTTGAAATGATGTAGAAAAATAAAAAGGGAAAAAAATGGAGATACATGGTTTTCTTTGGACAGCAAGAATATATATATATATATATATATATATATATATATATATATATATATATACCGATCAGGCATAACATTATGACCACCTCCTTGTTTCTACGTTAATTGTCCATTTTACTTACTATATAGGGGCACTTTGTAGTTCTACAATTACAGACTGTAGTTCATCTGTTTCTCTGCATACTTTGTTACAGGTACTATTTGGGTGGTGGATCATTCTCAGCACTGCAGTAACACTGACGTGGTGGTGGTGTGTTAGTGTGTGCTGTGCTGGTACAAATGGATCAGACACAGCAGTGCTGCTGGAGTTTTTAAACACTGTGTCCACTCACTGTCCACTCTATTAGACACTCCTACCTTGTCAGTCCACCTTGTAGATGTAAAGTCAGAGACGATAGCTCATCTGCTGCTGCACAGTTTGTGTTGGTCATCCTCTAGTCCTTCATCAGTGTCACAGGACGCTGCCCACAGGACACTGTTGGCTGGATATTTTTGGTTGGTGGACTATTCTCAGTCCAGCAGCGACACTGAGGTGTTTAAAAACTCCAGCAGCACTGCTGTGTCTGATCCACTCAGACCAGCGCAACACACACTAACACACCACCACCACGTCAGTGTTACTGCAGTGCTGAGAATCCACCACCCAAATAGTACCTGCTCTGTGAGGGTCCATGGGGGTCCGGACCACTGAAGAACAGGGTAAAAGGAGACTAACAAAGTATGCAGAAAAACAGATGGACTACAGTCCAGATACACCAATCAGGCGTAGTTCTACGCTTCTGGGTTTTATATGTAATGCTGATGAAGATAACACAGTGTTAAATCTCAAAAAAGTTTTCTTCAGGCATTTTTTCCCTTTCTGTAGCTCTCCACCATGAACGGATTTTAAGAGTATGTTCAAGGCCATTTCAGTAGCTTTCTATGAAGTAGCTTTTAGATTTAATAAATGGTTCAAATGTCTGGTTCCTATCACCACCACTGTGAGCCATTCTGACTCTGTACATTTCTGCAGAGTGGAGCGTTTCACCTCAAACTTCCCTGAATGACTCTGTTCATGTCTTGCTGATGTAATTATCCAGAAATTTGGAAAAATCAATGGGATTCCCCTTTAGGGCTATCCACCTTTATCCACGGCCAACACTGCTGTTTTGGACTGAGCTCCTCACTGAACTAGTTGAATGTGCTTTGAAGCTCTCGGTCCATAAGCCATATTATGAATAAATCCATACTCTGTTTTTAGTGCTATAGAAAAGAAAGCATCTGTTTTTGACTGTTTTGGACTGAGTGCTTTACTAACAGTACCATTACTTTTACTGAGTATGGTCAGGCTCTGACCTCAGTCTATAATCCATATTTGAACAGCCCTACACTCCACTGGACGCTACAGACAACACAAGCATTCGTTTTATGGGTGAAAAAAGAGAAAGAATGAGAAAGATATCTCTTTGTCTTTCTTTCTTTCTTCTCTAGCTCTATTTATATCTCTTTCACTCTCTCCCTCCCTCTCGCTCTATCTCTCTTTCTTTTCTTCATTATCTGTCTCTTTCTTTCTTCTAGGTCTATATCTTTCGCTCTTTTCTCTCTAGCTAAATTTATCTTTCTGTTTTTTCTGTCTTTCTTTTGCTCTCTTTCACATCCCTGTTTTTCCTCCTCTTTTCTTCATTTTCTGTCATTCTCTCTTCTCTCTAGCTATATTCATATCGGTCTGTCTTTCTTTTGCTCTCTTTCTCCTCCTCTCTCTCATTCTATCTCTTTCTTTCTTTCTGCTCTCTACACTTGGTTCCTTAGTACAGAGCCCTGCTGGTGACATATGTAAATAAAACTAAAATTAACTTGTGGCCACGACTTAGTAAGGCATGGGAACAACATAATTAAGTCATGGACACGACTTAGCAAGGCATGGAAACGAGATCATACCTTATTGAGCTGTGGTCAAGGCTTAATCATCTCATTCTCACGCCTTACTAAGTTGTGGCCACACATTAGGATCTTGTTTCCACACCTTACTAAGTCATGGCCATGTGTTTTTTTTTTTGTTTTTATTTATACAGGATGTCAAAAGCAGGGCTCTTTAAAGAAAGTAACCATTAGTAAAGAAAATGGTTCTATATAGAACCATGAACACTTAAAGAACACTTTGCATGATTAAAGGGCTCTTTGCATCATAAAACGTTCTTCAGACTGATGGAACATGTGCTGTAGATGAATCTATACAGAACCTTTTTTGAAAATGGTTCTATATACCACCCAAAAAGATTCCTCTATTGTTAAGATGTCAAGCTTGTAACAGCAGAAGAACCCTTTTGGGTGTTATATAGAACCCTTTTCAGAAAGGTTCTATATAAAACCATCTATAGCACATTCATGCAAATTTTCCATCAATCTGAAGAACACTTTCATGATGCAAAGAACCATTTAATCACGCAAAGGGTTCTTTGAGTGGTAATGGTTCTATATAGAACCATTTTCTTTACCAGACCATGTAAAGTTACAGAGCGGCTCACCGAGTGCTGAGGCACATACTGCATAAAAGTCACCAACACTCTGCTGATTCAATAACTAAAGAGTTCCTAACCTCCTCTGACATTAACATCAGCACAGAAACTGTGCACTGGGAGCTTCATGGCATTGGTTTCCATGGCCAAGCAGCTGCATGCAAGCCTTACATCACCAAGCACAATGCCAAGCGTCAGATGGAGCGGTGTAAAACGCCGCCACTGGACTCTGGAGCAGTGGAAACATATTCTGTGGAGTGATGAATCACGCTTCTCTATCTGGCAAGTCTGATGGATGAGTCTGGGTTGGGCTGGGTTTGGCAAACGCCAGGAGAACATTACCTCCCTGACTGCATTGTGCCAACTGTAAAGTTTGGGGGAGGAGGGATAGTGCTATGAGGTTGTTTTCAGGGGATCGCCCAGGCCCCTTAGTTCTAGTGAAAGGAAATTTTAATGCTTTGGCAGACCAAGACATTTTGGACAATTCTATGCTTCCAGCTCTGTGGGAACAGTTTGTGGTCCTTTTCTGTCCCAGCATGACTGAGCCCCAGTGCACAAAGCAAGGTCCATAAAGTCATGGCTGGGTGAGTTTGGTGTGAAAGAACTTGACTCACAGAGTCCTCACAGAGCCCTGACCACAACCCCATTGAACACCTTAGGGATGAACTAGAACGGAGATTGTGAGCCAGGCCCTCTTGTCCAACATCAGTGTCTGACCTCACAAATGCTCTTCTGGATGAATGAGCAAAAATTCCCACAGACACTCCAAAATATTGGAGAAAGCTTCCCAGTAGAGTGGAAGCCGATATAGCTGCACAAGGGGGGACCAAATCCATATTAATGCTTATGGATTTAGAATGGGATATCATGAAAGCTCCTGTAGGTGTAATGTATAGGTGTCCCAATACTTTTGTCCATATAGTGTATCTTTCTCTTTGTTTCTTGGTCGTTCTCTCTCTCTTGCTCTATCTTTCTTTCTCTTTTCATTATCTCTGTCTCTCCTTTTTTCTTCCCTTTAGCTATATTTTATTTATCTTTCTCATTTTTTTCTGTCTTCCATTCTTTTGTTTTTGCTTTCTTTCTTTGCTCTATTTTCTAGCTATCCTATCCATCTCCTTTTCCTTTCCTTCTTTCTTTCTTTTTTCTTTCCTCTCCTCTCTCAATCTCTCCTTTGTCCCTATCTCTCCCCTTCATGTCTTTCTTTCTTTCTTCCTCACTTCTCATGAAATGTTCACACAATGTAAAAGGTTTCCAGCGTGTGCTCACTACTCCTCGGCGCTAGGATCCAGCGGTCCCTCCCTCCATCTCCTTCCCTTTCTCTCTCCCTCTCTCTCTCTCTTTCTCTCTCACCCCTTCTCCCTCCTTTTTCTCTCCAGCCTGTTTGAAAGTCTCCGCCAGACTCCGGCTCCGGCTCGCTGGATGGCGGAAGGGACAGCGAGCAGCGCGGCTCCAGCTCCAGCTCTCCCCTCACTGCTCTCGGCTAAAGCTCGGCAGCTCCGCCGCTGCTGCTCCGTGGACTACCGCGCTTTTCCTCCTCGCCTCTCCTCATCCTCCTTTTTCTGCTCTTTTTCACACGAACTGCTCGCCTTCGCCGTCGTGTTTCTCCATCTGGAGTACTAGCTACGCCGTCCGAGAGCTTTTTTTTTAAGAGAAAGCGAGAGAGAGAGGGAAAAAAAACAGTTTCCTGCCTCGACCAACTTCCAAAAATTCCTCCGCTTTTTCCACCTAACGTTACTGCCGTTCCACTCGGCGCAGCGTTTGCGCAAAAAAACACGTTTTGTGTTTTTAACGCCGTTTTCGTTGCTTTTTTACTATAATTTATTCATTTTCAGCCCTTCAGCAGACGGATAACTCTGTCAACAGTTGCTCTGCTGCCAGCCCTCCATGTGCGGTGGGACATGCGGAGGCTACTGCAACCGTGCTGTTGGCGGATTCTGTCCTTCGTCTTGTCCGCCTGCGTGCTCCTCTGGGCGGACTGCCATCCCGGTAAGTTTGGGCTGATTTTTTTTCCCACCAAGTGTGTGTGTGTGTGTGTGTTTAGCCGGCAAACTCCCTCTTTAAACCCTTTAAACCCGCCTCACAGTCCTCCGTGTCAGGTCCTGAGGACTTGTGGAGTGAAAAAAGAGCCGTGGATTCGCTTTTTTGACACACATTTTCCAAACCAGCTCGTTCTGAGCGTCTCCAGTCCTGGAATTCAGTCAGTGTAGCGGAATCGCTGGTGCTGCAACCGAGACGGTGGGCTGTTGTGAGGCGTTAGTAAGTGGTCAGCCCCCGTCTCAACTAAACCCTCTTAGGTTTATGAGTGATGTATGTGGAGCCTGGACCCAGTGTGAGTGTTTAGATTCGGGTTGTTGTGGTTTGTTCGCCCCAGTCCAGTTCACGGCGGGTTACTCATGTGCAGTCCGGCTCTAACGGTTAACGGTTAATGGTGATGGTCGTGGTGAGTCCAGCTGCCAAATAACCGCTTTATTTCGCCTCTCTGTACGTGACTGAGCAGTGAGCAGCGAGCTGGTGGGAGATGGATTGGATGGTGTGATGGCAGTACGTGTTTAAACGTTAAGGGGAGGGGGCGTTTGGCACGTTTTTGGAGGGAAAAGAACACAAACAATGAACCCTAATACGCGTTTTTAAATTAGATTTTCTTTTAAAATTATATTTTTAGAATATATATATATATATATATATATATATATATATATATATATATATATATATATAATGCTTTTTTTTTGCTTTTTTTGCGTTTACGCGTTTAATGACGCGTTTTCAACCTACGCGTTTACGCGTTTTCCGTTTTTTTAGTTGCAAACGTGACGCTGTGTTCTTGTCTTGCAAACTGGGACGTTGCCTTGAATAAGAATTCCCAGGCTTAGTCAGGCGACTGCTCCTTCTTTAACAAATCCGTGGGAGAATCGTGAAAGCATGAGCGCGTTTGATCTCTAGAAACGTTAGAAACACGCACAAAAAGAGCCCTTTCTACCACCGATGGTCTCCTCAGAGTGCATACTGTGGTGTCTTATTGTTAATGACCTTGACTGAGTGATTGTGTGAGATTCCTCCAGCTCTTCAAGCTCCTCCAGCTCAGCCTTGCATGCATGTGCAGTTGTAATGAAGGACTGATGGATTGTGTCCATCTGCACATCCAGCTCAATCCATTTCAAACACTCAGGCCGGGCTTCTATACGGAAATCACATCCAGGGCCGGGTGACGATGCACGGCCGCACCTCTTCGTCCTGTACTTTCGCACCGGGGAACTTTTGATTTAGTTCCCATGCATTGTGTATTCAGTTGATCTCCTGAGTGACCAGTGCACAGGGTAAGAGTACGGGCTTGGCGTACTTTCATGCCAAGGAACTTGGAGCGCTGCAAGTTGCAGCACCGCTGGCATGATTGATCATGTGCGTCGGCTGTAAACAGTGTGTGAGAGTGCGCAGATCTCATTGAAATGCCAGCACGGACTGTGTTTACTCAGCCCGTTTGCATTCTTTTGATATCACTGTGCGCAAAATGCAAATAAATCTGGGATCGAAAATTTCGCCTTCCATCCCTGACCCACTTATGGGCAAGTTGACAGTTTCCTGTAATCAGTGTGGCATCTCATTTGCCAGGCTTTTTGCATACAGTAATAAAATCCCAAGCGCTTCTGTCCCTGTTCCTCGCTCGCTCTGAGCCGCAAAAAATAACAGCAGCTCATTTAATGGGGAGTACATAACCCTGAGCAGTGCATATAACACACTCCGTGTATGAATAGGAATTGTATTCCGGAGGAGGCAGGAAATGCTTGTCTCCGGCTTTTGTTAGGTATGCTGGTGTGTTTTCTGTTTGGGGTTCATCTCGCATTCTATCTGATTCGGATCGTGGAGGAGAAACCGGCCCACGGGACTCGGAACCAGGGTGCGCTCTACTACAAACAGAGGAGGAGAGGGTGCCTTCCCCCCGAAATCTCGGCTTCCCAAACAGAGGAGGCCTTTCATTAGAAGAGTAATGAGCGCCCCATGAATAAGACATCGATGCCAACGGGCAAACGGCGCTCTTCAAGTACCTGGAGATACTGAAGTTGTTTTTCTTTTGGCTCGCTCAACTCAAAGTTTGGTTGGCATCATCGTATCGAAGACTCCAGTTTTTCGACCTAATGTTTTGTCTACTGCATCTGTAGCTTGTTCAGTTGCTGTGGACAATAATTTCCCCATATTTAGTACAAGAACAGAAAACTAGTTGATTTGAAACACTTCTAATAGAAGCCAGTGAGCAGGTGCTTAAGCCGATGCACTTGCCCACTTGTTTCTATTATATGTGTATTCTAAGTAAATAGGTTTTCTATTTTTTTACGAAGATTTTCTGTTCTTTTATGAAGCTCTTTTATGAACGCATCAGACTTATTGTCTGTAGTCGATTGTATGTTAGAAATGCAGCAGATAGAGATTAGCTGAGTAGTCCTTTGAGTTAGTGTTACTAAAGCATTTCGCTGCTGTCAGAACAAAACCATGTATTTCCAAAATGGTAACTTTACAGGAGAAGCAAAAAACCTACTTTACTTTTAATGTAAGTCAGTGGAGTTTTTTCCAAGTAATTCTGAGCCGTTTCTTTTAGTCCATCCTTCATGAAATTTACACACAATGTAAAGATCAACAGGCATTTTCAGCAGCGATTTAAATCTATCATACATCAGACTGTTAATCAGTCAATTAACAGACATACAGGTGACCATAAACAGTTAATATCGCATATATAAACTCTATTATTGTGACTGTATATTGTTAAATATGAACATTACTCAAACGTAGCACAGCGTACAACCAAAGGATGATCATTGTCGCTCTTTCTTTTATCTTTTTCTGTCTTTCTTCCCCTTCTTTTTCTTTTTTCTCTCTGTCTTTGTTCCCCTCTCTCTCTCTCTCTCTCTCTCTCTCTCTGTCTCTCTCTCTCTCCCTCTCTCTGTCTCTCTCTGTCTGTCTGTCTGTCTCTCTGTGCTCAGTTTAACAAACGGTTGGTTTAACAAATGAAAAGAGAGAGCACAACCTCTCTCCCTCCCTCCTTCCCTCCCTCCCTCCATTTTTTTCTTCTTTACTGCACTTCTCCAGTCACTCAGGCAGCAGGGAGAAATACAGGTATCAGAAAAGTGCTCTTTAATGCGTGCCTTCCACTCCCCCATCATCCATCCTACTTATTCTACTTTCTGACAAAAAAATCGCTTCCTCTCTCTCTCTCTCTCTTTCTCTCTCTCTCTCTCTCTCTCTCTCTCTCTCTCTCTCTCTCTCCTGGGTGACATTTCTGTGCTCGTCTGCCTCTGATAGACCCGTCCCTAACGCAGCTGCTGCCGGGGTGAAACAGGCGAAGCTTTTTTTTTTGCGTGCTCAGCCCCTGCCACGGTGACACGGGCGGGCGTTTCGGGGGGAAACAGAGAACACTGACACTTTATTTATCCGCGTCATGTCAGCGGGGTTGTTGAGGGGTGTAGGGAAACGAGTGCACGCACACTTCAGTCAGAAGCAGAGGGCCCGAATGCTGACGCGGCGGCTGTGAAAGCCACAGAGACCCAGAGCATCTGTCAGCTGAGGAAGATGCGCTGAAACTCGCCGCAGGACGGCCCGCGGCCCCTGCTGAGAGGGGTCCCTGGATGGACCCCTTGTTGCCGTGATCCAGTGGAGCATGTCTTCAGAGAGAGACGTCTACTACCTCAGTTAGCTTGTCTCGTTTTACTGTCATTTAACTACCTTGCTTGGCAGTAAAACCAGTGAGGAGAACAATAATGAACAAATTACAGAACAGAGTCAGTTAGTTGTTGATGCATTATTCACTTGAAAGGTAGAAGCAGTATTTGTAATGCTCATGTGGTCATTCTGACGGATCGCAGTACGCTACAGGAAGTGTAGGGGGCGATATGGCTTCTGATTCAGTGCGAAGAAATCGGTTGTCGCACAGGTGGAACTTTGGTGGTGATGCTGTGCTGGGGATAATAAGAGCAAATGACAAGGCATAACAGTTTGATTAGGCGATTAATTAGGCAAATTATAGTCGACAGATTAATATTTGATTCAAATTCTCATGAACTGTTCACACAGTATAAATGATTTTCAAAAAAAAGGGAACTACAAGGTTTAGTAATGATAGCGATGATCTAAATCATGACAAAGCCAAAGAACAGTGTTGAATAGCATATCAACTTATTATTAGGGTCTATAAATACATTTATGTGCATGTTTGTTACAGCATGTGTATCAAAACCTCTCTAAATGTGTAATGATTTACGTTATTCCTCCATGAACTGCATTTCTGAAATGCAAAACATATCACCGTAAATTCAGACAGTGTTCAGGTTTGCCTGCAATAACTTGCAATAATAATATTGTAATAATATTATTATATATTTATGCTGTAGTGCTGCTGCTCTTCAGAACTGGCATGCTTTGTAATGGGCATCAGAAATAGCTAGCAAACAGTAATTATAAACAACTCTAAGGCTACGTTCACATTACAAGCCTCATTGCTCAAATCTGATTTTTGGCTCAAATCCGATCTCTCTGACATGATGCTTCACACTTGTTTAGGTAAGTGATTCAAATCTGTTATTAATGTGAATGAACCGGCAGCCTGAAATGACCCGCAGACACGCATCCTACTCAGTAACGTCACGTGAATGAATCACGTGCATCATCAGCAAACAGACTAACAAGCAGAACGAGCTTCGCTGTGAAGATAATTAACTCTGATCAGCTCTCAGCTTCATTATTAGAGCGAGACGGAGATGAAAAAGGTGAGATGTGTTGCTTTTCCACCGTTTACAGGCTTTAATGTCTTTTTGGCGCTGTTGCCGTGGTAACGCTGAATGATGGCGCACGCGCAGCGGGAAAAAAGCACATAAATTCTGATCTGAGCATTCACATTAAGGTCAGATACGTATCTGATCTAGGACCACATATGAAAGTGGCTCGGGTCGGATTTGAAAAGATCAGATTTGCATGTCCACACGGCCCCGAAAACATCA